CCCCGGCCCCGCCCGCGACCCCGCCAGCCATTGGCCGTCGCCGCCCCGCGCCCCGCCGCCGCCGCCAGTGGCCTGCCGGGCTGTCACTAAGGGGCGCGTCGCAGCCTATATATTCTCCCGAGTGCTCGCCACCTGCATTTAATGTCCCGGCCGGACTGGAGCGCACCTCGGGGTGCTTCCCGCCGCCACAGCTGGCTTGCATCCTCTGGCCTGCGTGGATGCAGCTCCAGCCGCCAACAAAAGCCCGGGTGATCCCTCGGCTTCGCCTCCCGGGCCTCAGTCCGGTCCTCTTCCCCAGCTCTGGGTCCCATTTCCTAGCGGTCCAGGCTCCGGGACCGGTCCTGGCCCTAATCCAACCGTAGCCTCCAAGGCGTTCATCTCACTGCCGCCAACCCCAGTGATGAGCCTCTTTATCCCCAAGTTACCCAGGAGACAGGGTGACTTCAGCAACCGTGAAGAAGAGATAGGTCTAGGATTTAAATGCGCATTGTTCGGTGAGAATGTCCCTGATTTTTCCACTATGGTATTCTGCCTCTTTTCCTGAGCCCACGTCAGACCACCGGATGGTAAAGTTTAAGGTTAACTTTAGACCCTGGTAAGTATCATCGGTAGAAAGAGGGAGAGAGCGGGCCCTATTTTTAGCCGCTAATAGTTAACTAACTTAATATCATCTTTTAGATATTTACTACACCAAGCCCCGTGTTAAACTCTTAAATTTGCATCATGTCATATGTTAATCCCTATTTTTCATACAAAGAAGAGAGGTTAGAGTTTACCCAGTTTACCTGATTCTATTCTTTGTTCAAAGACAAAGGATGGGTTTTCCTGTTACCATAATCCTCCCAATAACCATGCAAGGTAAAATTTACAAGAATTTGAAGGGCCAAGGAACAAGGAGACAGCCATGTCCCTGCCAAACTCCCAAGGTAAAAAATAGATTCTTAGAAAAACAGCAATTCAAAAATGGAATACTCATTCACAAATGGAAAACAAACTGATATCAGAATGTTTTGTTTTCCCAACAAAATCTTTGTTGTTGTCTTAAGACAGTAGTAATTAGCTATGATTTTCATGGTTTCTCAGCTCTCCCATGGTGAGATTGCTCTTCATCACTGTTAAACTGTTTTTAAAAGGTCAAAAAGATACATGGCACCCCTCTTCCAGGGGGGAGACACCAGTTCAGAGGGAGCAGGCATAGGTTTGTCCACTGGCCAGCTGTGGGCACAGCTTGAGCATGACAGATTTGACACCCAGTGATAACTTTGCTTTCCCTTTTGGGAGGCATGGAGCCAAATTCTCTGGATGCTGTGATAAAGTCATTGCCAGTTAGCAAGCCAGCAACAGACCTCATGACAGAGATGAGCAATAAACACCAAGGCCACATCAGACACAATTGTTAATACATTGGATTGTCAGACTAAAATTATCTCCTAAGAGTAGCCACCCCAGGTTTTTAATGGCAGATGAGCAAACTACTTGCAGATGAAGAAAAGACTGCAATTTGACAAGAAAGAAACAGTCCTCAAGCCCTTTCAGGAGGATTTATCACAAAACCAAGCAACACAAACAGCTATTACTCAGTTATCCCTATTTTATAGAGAAAGAAATTAAGAAACATGGCAGATAAGCATATTAAGTAATGGGACTGGAGAGATGGCTCAGAGATTAAGAGCACTGGCTGCTCTTGCAGAGTACTGGGGTTCTGTTCCCAGCACCCACATGGTGGCTAACAACCATCTGTAACTCCAGTTCCAAGGCAATCTGACATCCTCTTCTGACTTCTGTGGGCATTGCATGACACAGGTGCACTTACATACAGGCAGGAAATACACTCATACACATAAAATAAAATAATAAAATATATTTTCTTAAAAAAGAATAGTAACAGCCGGGTGTGGTGGCGCACTCCTTTAATCCCAGCACTCGGGAGGCAGAGGCAGGTGGATCTCTGTGAGTTCAAGGCCGGCCTCAAGGCCAGTCTGGTCTACATAGGGAGTTCCAGGACAGCTGGGGCTACAGGGAGACCCTGTCTCAAAAAAGACCAATAATAATAATAATAATAGTAACTAATAATGACTAAGACTCTGCCTGATTCTATAGCCTTTATGATTACATCTTTAGCAATTTACAAAATTTTTGATGACTGAATGAATATTAAAAGGATGCACTTCCACATCCCCGCCCCCTTCCCCTTCTTGGTAAAGGAAGGAAAACAAAGTATTCAGAGACATATGTCAGATAAGAAAGGAAAGCAGAAAGGACTTGGTGCAGTTGGTGACTCAAGTGGCATATCCAGGAAAACTTCCTTTGGGGATCTTTTCAAATTTTTTCTTACATCTATTTATTTATTTATTATTTATTTATTTATTTAGTTAGTTAGTTAGTTAGTTAGTTAGTTAGTGTGGGGCACTGTATGGCGGTCAAAGGAAAACTTGCAGGAGTCAGTTCTCTCCTTAAACCATGTGGATACCCAGGATTGAACTCAGGTCATCAGGTTTGTTGGCAAGTTCCTTTACCCACTGAGCCATCTCAAAGACCTAGAGAGGTGACCAGCTTTCTTGCTATTTTGTTGCCACTTTAACTGGCAGAAGAAGAGCAGATTGTCTAAGAAACCCTCCTCTTACCTAGTTACATTTGTCTCAAACTATTTGGTTACATTTGCCTCAAACTATTTACGTTGTTGCCCAGGAAGGTAAGAATTTCAGTTGCTGAGCTAAGAAAATGCCTCAAAGGCATGAATTCAAATTGATGATTCCGCTCAGTGTTGCTGCATATAAATCCTGGTTTTCCCAACTCTGTCCATGGTATCTGCTTAACAACACATAAACGCTGCAAGTCTGATTGCTAACGCGTGGAAGTCAGGGACAGAGCAAGAAAAAAACTCTATCCTGTGCTTGATTTCTTGGAAACTGATTAACTAGGTGGTATTAAAGATCTGTTAATTGCTGGGTACAGGGGATCTTGCCTGTAATCCAAGTACTTAGGAGGCTTACAAGTTCAAGACCAGCCTCAGCTACATAGCAAGAGGTTTGAGGCCAGCCTGGGCTTTGTGAAACTATCTCAACAAAATAAAACAGAACAATAGAAAACAACCCCAGCTCCATAAAAGGATTTGCTTAGTTAACAATCAAGGGCAGTTAATGCAAATTCTGAGTCCTATAAATTTGTTTCCTTTGTTTTTATTTTATGTGTATGAGTGTATTGCTTGCATGTATTTAAGTGCACCTGTGTCATGCAATGCCCAAGGAGGTGAGAAGAGGGCATCGGATCCCCTGGAACTGGAGTTAGAGACGGTTGTTAGCTGTTATGTGGGTGCTGGGATTCAAACCTGGGTCCTCTGCAAGAGCAGCCAGTACTCTTAACTACTGAGCCATCTCTCCCACCCATTTCCTTTTTAAAAAATCTTTTCCATGATGACAGCCCAGCACTATCACTGGCTTTTCACTTTTTTTCTAGTTCTGTAGTTTCACACTGTCAGTGGAATTGCAGACAAGAATTTCAGCCAGT